TCTGATGGACTAGGCTCACCTAGTGGCCATTTAATCTCAGAGCTCACACTCACACCTCTGCAGTGTCAGCCTTGATATTTACAGAGGGAGGCTATGGCAGGCAGTATGGCCTTTCTAACCAAGGCCTAAGGACTGTCATATGTTCTCGAAAATGTAATGGCTCTCATTCAGATCTTGGGTAAACAGGATCTGAAGGCAAATGTGTGCTTTGATTTCCACGCCTGTTTGGAGAGCATGAAGGGGGAGAAAGGAAGCTTTAGTGAGGACGGATAGCAGGTCAGGGACTTAATTTTGTCTTCCTTCCCAGGAAGTGAGGCATTCACCTCCCGAGAGGTCATGGAGGAGGGACAGTGGGAGGGTGGCCATCTAGCCTTCCCCGGGGCAGGCCCCGCTGGAGGCTTTGTGCTACGTTCTGGGGGTCACCTTGTGAGAGGCCCCCCGAACCGAGGAGGCGGTCCCAGTAGGCAGGGGTGGGAAGCCAGGCCCTGGGAGGCAGTCATGAAGGAACTGGAACTGGTCAGTTCAGAGAAGGCCTGTCACTAGAAAGGGGATTTGACTTCTCCTGTGTGACCTCCCAAAGCTGAAGGAGGCGACACCAGGACATCATAAAGGTGTGGGCTCTGCGCAGGAAGGGGCTGACTGGTCGCAGAAACCAAGGTTGGACCGCGGTTGCACGTGCGCGGGTGCGAGGAGGTGATGGTGCAGCGCCCGCCTACCACGGGGCTCCCGGTGACTGAGAGCAGGTGGCACTTGATTAAATAATCTGTCCCAAGGGCGAAAGTGTGGAGAATTCTTAGTTTCAATTATTTAGCAATTCCTTTGCACACAGCACTTGATACTAACTGAGCTGTCTGTGTCCTAGCCTTGTGTCGCAGGCGTGCGCTGTGTGCTGATAACTAGATTGAACAAGTGCCGTAGTAAAGCAAAACCCTGAGTCTCTAAGCCCAGTGTGTAAGACACTGAGTTATAAATCGGTGGCATACCTGGAAAAAAGACAATAAAATTCCTTTGTACATGCAGTTATTTTAAAGGCACCCCCGAGCCCTCCGTCCCAGCGCCAATGTTGTAAGGGCAGAGGGGCTGAGCCGCTGTCTGAGGACCGAGTGTGATGTGGTGGCAGGGGCCCCGCAGGCTGTGTAAGGGGCCCTGTGCTGGAGGCTGGGCAGTGCGCTGGACAGGCTTCCATTGTGGCACTGAGCCTTCTGTCTGCGCAGAACACACAACGGCCCTCTGGCAAACTACTGCGGTAGCTGCATCTGTCAGTCACGCTGCTGTGGGCGCGCTCAATGTTGGTGACTTAAAAGGAGTGACTGCTTTCAAGTTAGGCAAATAGGTAATAAGAACTATCAACGAAGGTCCACAGTGCTACTTCACACTTACAGCTCCCAGCCTGACTTGTTTGGGCTCATGGCTCCGTTGCAGGCAACAGCCCGGCATGGCTGGGGTGGGACGAGGTCCCAAAGAGCCCGAGCAGCCTGTGTCTGCCCTGTCTGCGCACCCACCACTTCCCACCCCGGGCCCAGAGGGTGTGTCTGCGCTGCGGGGTCAGTTCAGAGCAGAAGCACACCGCGGACAAACCTGCAGATGGCCTTCTGCCCAGGGACGGGGTCACGCTGAAGGCATCACCTCCGTGAGGGCACTTGCATGGGACTTTATTCTTAATTTCCTAGCGCTGGGTTTAGTGGCTTTTGGATGTGTGTGGGTGAGCTCTGCTGTGCAGTCACAGCAGCAGCACCGTGATCAGTCCTCTCATCTACCTCCAGTTCAGTTTCTGGGATGATGTTTGGGGGAGTTGGGTTTCTGGGAGGAAAACTTGATTCTTAGTGTGTCCCTGTGTTTGGCTTGAATTTCTTAATCTGGGCTCTTGGTGGTGAAGCCAGTAGAGGGCAGCCGCCGGGGCCAGGTGCGGGGCTGGGACGACTGGGCCTGTCGGGTTAGGGCCTCGGCTGCCCCTTAGGGACTGTTTCTCCCAGAACAGGACCGGGGGTGGCTGGTCGGTCACTGACCTCCGTCCGGCCCTGCTCTGCTCTGTTGCAGCACCTTGCTGGTGAAGCAGAAGCTGCCGGGAGTCTACGTGCAGCCGTCTTACCGCTCAGCGCTAGGTAAGCACATTCTCTACAGCGGCAGCACGTTTGGTGCCTCTGACACCAGCCTTAACCGCGCTTGCTTCTCCTGCAGTGTGGTTTGGAGTGATCTTCATTCGGCACGGACTGTACCAAGATGGAGTATTTAAGTTCACAGTGTACATCCCTGATAACTACCCGGACGGCGACTGCCCAGTAAGTGGGAGCTACAGCCTGGCTCCGTGCGCTGGCCAGTGAGGCCCACAGGGCGCTGAAGGTGTCTGGGTTCCTTTCCTGACCAGCCACTTTGCTGATGGTTCCTAAGATGTCTGTCTGCTCCTCGGGCTCTGGGGGGAGGGCCTGTGCCTCGCTGTGTCCTTTGCCCCGTCAGCCTCCACCTGGAGCTGCGCCTGTGCTCCCGCAGCCACGCCGAGGCTGACTCCGCACTCGGGGTCGTGGTGCTGGGTAGAGCACCCCTCCCTGCAAAACTTCATGGCGCAGGACAGTGGGGAGAGTAGTTAAGTGCAGCTCCTGGCACGACTGCCTTGTCCGGACACTCTTCCTACCCCCGTCTGTGGGCCAATTGCCTCCATGGCTCCCACTGAAAGCTCCGTCTCTCTCCCCATACAGCGCTTGGTGTTTGATATCCCCGTCTTCCACCCGCTAGTTGACCCCTCCTCAGGTGAACTGGATGTGAAGAGAGCATTTGCCAAGTGGAGGTGAGTGACTACGTGTTTCCTTTAGTGACAGAGTGAGTGGGACGCCTAAGTCACGCGCCTGTCTCCCTCAGGCGGAACCACAACCACATCTGGCAGGTGCTGATGTACGCGAGGAGAGTGTTCTACAAGATCGACACGGCGAGCCCCCTGCACCCCGAGGCTGCGGTCCTGTAGGTCACTGCTTTACTTCAGCTAGATCTGAGAATGCAGCCGAGGAGAGCGCGTGGGTAACTTTCTGACTTACACTTTTAACACAGGTATGAGAAAGATGTTCATCTGTTTAAAAGTAAAGTGGTTGACAGTGTGAAGCTGTGCACGGCCCGCCTGTTTGACCAGCCTAAAATAGAAGACCCCTATGCCATTAGGTAAGTGGTTCCTACCTAGACAGACCGCACCCTGCAGCCCTGTGCTCCCATGGTCCAGGGGCACTTAAACTAAAATGGGGAGTGAAAGGGAAGCTGTATCACCTGTTAGCCAACAACCCTCATTACGTGTAACAGATTTCAGACACCCCTTCGGCTCCTTAAACAAAAGACTTTCCATCGACAGGCACGTTGTGCCGGTGGTGAGCTATTTAGTGACTCTGGGTTCCTGAGGACCCTGTGATGTGCTGTTTCAAGTGTCAGTGTCAGCAGGAGCCCCTCTGAAACAGCCACAGCCCGTCTACGTTCGATGTGGAGAGGGCGGGAAGCTGCATAGGGGAGAGTGACTAGAGTGGGACAGTGGGTGCTGGAGCTCTGTGACACTTGACCTCGGGGCCGAGTGGCGGGAGAACAGACCTGAAGGATGGGTGGTTTAGCGCTCCGCACACTGGTGCTGGGGAGGCAGCGTAGCGCAGTGGGTAAAGGCTTGGGCTCTGCAGACGGAGTGGTTGGCTTTGTGACTGGAACAATTACTTGCTTTTCCGGTGCCTCAATAACAGTACCTCAGGGGTTGTTTCGAGGCTTAAATGAGCTAACCCGGGGAAAGTACTCTGCAAAGCATGGTTATCATGTGAGAAAATAATTTAGATAACGCCTAAAACTTACAGGTCGACAACTGATGAAAGACTTTTCTTTAAATCCTTATTAGGTTTTGTTATGGCAACTGGCTTAAGTATTAAACAGATGTTCCGCAGATTTAGTAAGCCAAGCAGTTTTTAAATCTTTTTCTCTTCCTTAAGCTTTTCTCCATGGAACCCTGCTATACACGACGAAGCCAGAGAGAAGATGCTGACTCAGAAGGTGAGTAGCTGGCCGTTTCTGAGATGGCTACTTGCTGACCCCTTTCTAAGCTCATTCTGCACAGACACCTGTGGGGAGGCAGGTTTGCACAGTGCTGACATCTCATCGGTCGCTTTCTGGTGTCTGTTTTGATTGTGCCTAGAAGAAGCCTGAAGAACAGCACAATAAAAGTGTTCACGTGGCCGGCCTGTCCTGGGTAAAGCCTGGCTCCGTACAGCCCTTCAGTAAAGAAGAGAAAACAGGAACCACCTAGGAGCGGGACGGCGGTGACTGGTGCACCAGGCACTTTCCTGCGGACGCAGGCCGAGGCCAGGCTGACGGCGGCCAGGACTGCTGCGAGTAAACTGTGCGAACGAGGACTGGCGTCAGTGGTGTCCATATGCGCTAGGTTCTAACAGCAAGTTCTGGAAACCTCTCTCTAAGTAACGCGTTATTACTTCTGTCAGAAGTGTCTTTAGGGTGGTTATCTAGTTCAGTACTCCAGATTATTGGGGACCTTGAGGCTTAAGTATTTTTCTAAATATAATGCTAAAGGTAAGTGGCATTCATTTGGAACTACTAGAGTAGACAGAGTTTAGCACTACGGAATTATTTTTAAATGGGTGTCTCGGTTGTACATACGTTAGGAAGTGGAGAGGAAAGGTGTAGAGAAAGCAGGTTCTTTAGCATACTAGCACTTTCAGCAGGAGACCACCTGACTCTCAGTCTTCAGCCCACTGTCTTACTGATTTACGAATCGCTACCAGGTGCATGTTAGGGGAGTGAGGAGGCCAGAACACTGGTTCATAGTTTTTGTTTTTTTTTAAAGCAAATTACTTACTGTATTTTTATGGCAGGAGGGAGAAAAAGTGTTAGAACAGTTTCTAATGAAGTCAAATATTTAAGTGATGAATGACTAATGTGTTTTGTAGAGACAAAATAAACCAATAAATGATGGTTCTTTGTCATTTATGCAGGAAACTAAATACCCTTTTCTCAGTATAACTGAACAAAGATTAATTTATAAATGCTTTATTGAAAAATACACTTATTTTCATATAAAATTACAGTAGCAGTAAGTATCTGGAGAGGTTTTATAAATATTTTTGCAGAACACTATTCTAACTGAACAGTGTAATTAAAGTTCCATATTTCTTTCAGAGCAATATGAAGTTACCTAGTAACTTTGTTTATACTGATTCAATTTACAATTGAATTTTCTCCCTAATATTATTCAGTCAACTTAAAAACTGCTGGAACAATACTGATTAATAAAGTTATATATAGATACTTCAATAGCTGTTAAATAACCTTTTCTAATTTGTATGACTGGTACTATGTACTCAATGAAAACCTAAACTCTTTTTTTAAACTGCCAGGAACATACCAAAAGATAGTTTAAAATGTATCACCTTAGTAGACACATGTCTTTTGGAAAACTACCTCCTAAAGGAAGAGGCCATAATTTCTCATATTAATTTCCTTAATTCAACTTGATTTAAAAATCTTCACTTAGCCAGCTGATCCCTATTAATAGGGGGGGAGGGGGGAACCTGGAAAATTTAAAATACGTGCCCCAAAGGTGGCTACTGGGGCTTTAACAGTTCTAAAAACGTACAAAAGCATCAAAGAGGACGTTGAGTGTTTAGCCTAGCAGTTTTGTACTTAATAAAAGTTCACATTGTAGAAAGTGCCATCACAATATACAGCAAAACCTAGATTACGAAATCATGCTTTTTACAGCCCAAAAGTGCCACTTCTTACACAACTCACGCACACCACACACCAAACACGCAAGCACCTGCCACGCTGCACCACACCTACGGGAGGGGAGGATACACACAGGGACCGGGAGACGCGGGCCGGGCCCTCTCCCTTGTTAAGTTTCAAAAATGCAAAATTCGCACAGTCCTACCAAGTGTTTTGGGACAGAATACCTAGTTTTTGTGTTGCTTTTCAGGAGCGCCAGAGCAGACCACAAACAGGTAGGAATGGACTGAAACAGCCTCTGCTGGAGGGTCAGCAGAGACCGCACACGTTTCAGCATGCTTTGTTCTCTACAATACCTGTAAAAGCTTTGCCAAAGAGTTAACAAATCCCAGACTGGTTTCTAAGCAGCCTTGACGGCAAGCACTGAGTGGTAGGAAAAAGGCAGATGGGATGAGTAAAAATAAGGATATTGGAAAGAGTAAGGAAAAGAGCCCCATAATCTAGCATGCATTAGATGATGCTGTTAAACAGTTTGTGAAAGGAGTTTCAATACAACAGACTAACCTCAGTGGGAACCTCGGTCATTAGCTACATCTTGGAGACGGCGTATTAAGGCAGTATGATTTTCTGGGCAAATTCTTTTGGCAGGTGATTCACTTCCATCTTCCAAAAGAATCCCTCTCTTTTTGGTTGGAGTTTCTCCTGTCCGTATCATACTGTTAATTTCTCTTAGTCTCTAGAGCGAGGGAAAAACAGATATAAAAACTTGAAAACCCGAATACACACAATGCGTTGTTAAGGCAAAGAACCTCAAATGAGTTAAGTGGTTTACCTTGAGGAGTTTGAACATCTCCATGGAGAAAAGAACTACTGAGCTACCCAGCCTCCCCATGTCAACCTCTCTGCTGGCTGAGCCGATGACTGGGCGGAGAAGGAGGGCTTAATAAGCTCCGCAGATGGAGTGGACGGACACTTTTCCAAAATGCAAGAGCTGACACATTTGTGATTTCTTTCTATGGTAGTTATAGATCATGACATTGCTGATAACTTAATCAATTCCATACATCCCCATTCTCCTTTTTTAAAAAATAGCATGATTTTGCATTGTATTGTGCCGATTTTTTTTTTTAAGTCTAGCAGCCATTTTCAACAGGAATTTCACAAGAGAAGTAAGCCTTAATTCCCTAAAGCATCCTTTGTAAGTAACTTATTGGTATGATCTGGAATGTCATAGTTACTTGTTCTCCTTGGAAGATGGAGAACAGTTGGGCAAATTCTCTGCGAGGAACGCCTCCTGAGGAAACACTGCCTGGTGCTGGAGACCAGATCGGTTCTCAGCGCCTTCAGCGAGCAGTTCCTCCAAAGCCCCAAAGTCAGTGTACCCCACTCTTTTCTGGTCGTGTTTGGTTAAAGGGTTTTTTCATGTGCTGCCTCCTTGCCCTTGTTTCCTGTTGGAAAGCACATGAGCATATATGTTCACATGCACTTCCCAGAGGAAACGGGCTTAGACCTTCCGTGTCTGTGTGGATCACCCGCACTGCATGCAGTACTCTCCAGTATGTGGCGTGTTTTAATCCCTCCCAGCTGTTCGGTGCTGTAAACAATGCTACCATGCTGATTGTTCAACAAGCTGCACCTGCCCTGACCAGTGTCCCTCATGACCAGTCATCTCACTTGATATCACTTTGTAATATTCGTCCTTGATCTGTTATCACCTAGTAAGTCATGATGACAAATATTTCTCCAACAGTCTAATACTGCTTTCATTTATTGGAAAAACTCCCAATTCTGTGCTACAGTTTTTTCTGGCACCTTCCAGTTGGTGATCATGGACAAGCAGGATTGAAAGTCACAACTCCTGGTAAGTGTATAGTTCTACACGTTTAACAAATACACAGTCATGTAATCACCACGGTAAAGATAGAAAACAGTTCCTTCACTCCAGGAAATTCCCTCGTAGTCCCAGCTACCCCACCCCAAGGCAGTCACTGATGTTCTGTCCCTACAGTGTCCTAGACATGGAATCAAGACAGGAAGTGGCCTGATGAATGAGCGACTTCCACTTAAGCATTAATGCCCTTGAGGTTCATTTTCGTTGCTAAGCGTATCAGGGCTTTTTACTGCAAAGGAGTACTCTGCTGGGTCTACTACCCAGGTCTGTTTACCCATTAACCAGCTGGAGGACACTGGGGTTGTGTTCTACTGTCTGGCAAACAGGAATAAAGTCATAAGCGTTCATGAGCATGTTTTGCATGAACCTAAGTTTTCATTCCACATGGGTAAATCCCTAGGAGTGAGGATTACTGGCTATATGGTAAAGGTATGTTTAACTCTATTTTCCAGGTATAACGTCTCTGCTATACCATTCTGTGTTCTGACCAGCAATTTAAGTTCCAATCGCTCTACATCACTGCCCGCGTTTGTTGTCGTTAAGATTTTAGTCATTTTCATAGGCAGGTAATAGGTGAAGTGTGTTAAAATCTTTTGCCCATTTTTAAATCTGGTTTTCCTTTTGAGTTTTGATAATCCTTTACATACTGTAGGTACAAATCCTTTATCAGCTATGAGATCTGTAAAATTTCCTTCCTGTCTGTGGCTTGTCTGTCTTAATTTTGATCATCTAATGTGTCAGTCTTTTATAGATTGTGCTATTGATGCTGTATCTAAACCCATGTTCACAAAGATTTGCTTCTATGGTTTAACTTTTAAGTTTCATAGTTTAGGTCTGTGGTTCATTTTGAGTTAATTTTTTGTATATGGCACAGTGTCTGGGTGCAACTTTACTATTTTTGAACACAGGTATCCAATTGTTTCAGCACCAACTATTGAAAAGGCTATCCTTTCTCCACTGAATTGCTTTTGCACCTTTGTTGAAAATTACTGGCCTTTTACATGGTGGGGCAAAAGAGGTTTACAATTGGTCATATGGGAAATAATACAATAAATAATAAGCATGAACTGCATACTCACAACTGTAAACCTACACTTGCCCCACCTGAATGTGTGGTCTGTTTCTGGATTCTGTTCTATTGATCTGTTACTCTCCTTTTACCAGTACCACACACCGTCTTGATTACTGTGGCTTTAAAGTAAGTCTTGAAATCAGACAGCGTGTGTGTTTCATTTTTCCAAAATTGTTTTAATTATTCTAGTTCCTTTGCATTTTCATGTAAGTTTTGGAACCAGTTTAACTTATATAAATAATTCTGCCAGGATTTTGACAGGAATTGGGGTTGAATTTGTAGATCAAGTGGGAGAAAACAGATCTTGATGTTTCCAGTTCCTGGACATGATATATATCTCTCCATTTTCTCAATCTTTAACTTCTCTCACCAAGATTCTGTAGTTTTTAGGATACGAATCTTGCACATCTTTTATCAGACTTGACTGTAAGTGTTAAGTTTTTAATGCTGTGTATAGTGTTTAAAATTCTTTTACTTCTACTTACTCATTGCTGGTATATAGAAATACGTATATTTGATTTTTATATGTTAATTATGGAACTTTCCTAATCTTTAATTCCAGTAACTTTTTGTAGATTATGATTTTTCCGTGTAGAAAACTATGTTGTGAATGGAGACAGTTTTCTTCCTTTTCCATCACGTACGTCTTCTCTATCTGGCCTTATTGTGTCTGACAGGACCTACAGTTACAATGCTGAATAGGAGCGGTAAGAGCAGAGATCCTTGCCTTCTTCCTGATCTTAGAGGGAAGGCATCCAGTCTTTTACCATTAAGTATGAGGTTAGCGATAGATTTTAAATATATATATATCTTCTTTATCAGGTTGAGGAAGTCCCCTGAGAGTTTTATCATGAATGAATGTTGGATAGGGCTATTAAAACTACTTCCTTTTTACTTTTTTAGAAGTTTGTCTTTCAGGGAGTTAGTTCGTTTCATCTGCATTATCACATTTATTGGCACAAAGTTGTTTTTTTATCCTTCCTACTTAGTCTATACAGAGATGTGTCTTTTTTATCTTCTCAAAAAAACCAAAACCTTTAATTTTTAATGGCTTTTATTTTCTCTACTTTCAGTTGTTTATTTCATTGATTCCTGTTCTTTCTCAAGTTGCTTAGTCACTAACTTGAGACCTTTTTTCTTCCTATATAGGTATTTAGAACTATCGTTTTTCCTCTTAGCACTGTTTTTGCTGAATTTCACAAATTTAGATATGTTGATTCAGAAATACACAATTTAGTTTCCAAAAATTTGGGGATTTTCCAGAGAAAATACATTATCTGAATCCTTTACAATTTATTGAGACTTGTTTTGTGATCCAGAATGTGTTCTATCTTGGTAAATGTCCCATGTGTACTTGGTGCCACTGGAATGTTCTGTAAACCAGTTAGTCAACAACATTAACGAATCCTGAATATCCTTACTGATTTTCTCTACTTGTTCTTTTTTTCTATTTAGGATTATATGTCCTTATCATTAGGAAATGACCTTCTTAGCACTGGTAATATTTTTTGCTCTTCAGATATTAATATAGCAATCCAAGCTTTCTTTTGGTAAGTGTCAATAGAGTATAACTTTTTCTATCCTTTTACTTTTTTAAAAACACAGCTTTATAGGGATATAACTCACATACCGTATAATTCATCTATTTGAAGTGTACAAACCCTTGGCTTTTAGTATGTCTCTGGAGTTGTGCAATCATCACTCTTTCGTCAGCTCAGAAACTCTGTGCCTTCCACTTCCCCAGCAGTCAGCACTCACTCATCTACTTGTGCTTCAGTGAGTCTGCCCTCTGGACATTCCCTATAAAGGATCACACATGTGTATCCTCTTGGGACTGGCTTCTTCCCTGAGCTGGATGTGTTCAAGGTCCACCAATGTTGTAGCCTGTGTCAGTACTTTTTTATTGGAGTAATATTCCATCGTATGGATCTACATTTTATTTATTTATTAGTTAATGGGAGTCTGGGGTTATAATCCTTTAAACTAGCTGTGTCTTTAAAGTGTGTTACACATAAGCAATAAATAGATGGGTCTTGCTTTTTCACCCAGTGTTACAATTCTGCCTTTTAATTGGTATTCTTAGACCATTTACATTTAATTGCTATTTTTCCATACTTCCATTTGTTAGCCCTTCTTTTGAAATGAGTATTCTGGTTCTTTTTTCCCCCATTTTACTCTTAAATTCCAACTGGATTAATATGGTTATAGTTATAAGAGGAAAATCTAATAGAGGAAATGTCAGAGTCATTTCATCCAACTCCAGTTGTTTTTTTAGGGGCTATTGCCATTTTTGTTCACAGTACATAATTGTACTGTGAATATTATTGGCATTAGATTAAACCTATGAAATGGTTTGAGGAAATTATAAATCTTTTTCATATTTGGTCTTCCTATTCAGAAACATTAGTATAATTCCAATTTTTTAAAACCGCTAATTCAAGTTAAATAATTTGATACATTTATTCCAAGCTATGTGATACTTTGCTGCTATTTATAGAAGTTTTTCCATTATATTTTTGAACATTTTTTTTACTTATTTTCCTAACTTTCTATTTTTAAAGATTTCAATCTTACAGAAAAGTTGGAAGAATAGTACACTGAGTACTCATTATCGATGAACACTTACCTCATTTGTCCTCTCTATAATCTTTTATAGTTGAACCATTTGAAAGTAAGTTACTGACACTGGAACAGGGCCTCTCTGACTACCTCAAGCATATTCTCCTACATAATCCAGTACCACCATCAAAACCAAAGAAATTTAACAGAAACTTTAAAGGTAAATATCAACATAAAGTCCACATCAAGTTTTCCCACAAAAATGTGCTTTACAGCTAAGTTTCCATGTAGGACCTACTGCGTGTGGTTGTCAGGCCTGTTCAGTTTCCTTCACTCTAGAACGGGGCCCTCCCCCACCTGCCATTTCTCACCATATATGCATTTGTGAGAGTGCAATCTATAAACACAATGTCCCATCAGGCCTTTGGGACCAGCCGCACTCCTCACCGCAGCATGATTCCCAGTGGCTGCTGCTTCCTGAGCCCCTTTCCTTGCACACTCGGCAGCTGCTGACTTTCACCACCAGGCCTGACGCAAGCTTCCCTCCCCATCCCCACCCTAGACTGAGGCCGATGCGGCTCACAAATCCAGGCTAAGTGACCAGCACCGCACTGTGCAGAATGTCCACCCCCCCCCCCCGCCCCAGGCCAAGACGAAGAACACAGGGGACAGAGACACTGCCTGTCGCAGAAAGAGGTACTCGGTCATCGGTTTAGAGAAACCAATTTTCTTTCCCTAAAAAAATTTGGAATTTAAAAATTTTACAGATGGAATAAAAACCACAAAATCCCAGATTTACAGTAGAATGTTAAAAATGCACAAACAGGAAAAGGAAAGAATGAAAATAAATCCAAGTCCCTTAACTTGATTTCCAACTCTGAAATTCTCCCCCCGTAACCCCTGGTTTTCGCTCCACTGGGACCTAACTGGTCACTTTTCCCTGGAAGCTCCCATCCACCGTTTCTAGACTCCTAAGCATGTTGTGGGTGGGAAAAGCCGAGGGGCCAGGCTCACCTTGGAAGGACTGTTGCTGAAGTAGTAGAAAATCTTTTCTCGAGGAGAAAGCACGATTTCGTGTTTATGCGGGGAAATGTAGACGGGATGGTTCTGAGACAGCTGCACGCGGCGCGGGGAGCCTGCTCTTACAAATGGGTAGGGAGACAGCGGAGGGGCCTCCGTCTGTGAAAAAAAGAGAATTTCTCAGCTAAGCCCAGTTTCTAACCAGGTCTTTTTGAAAGTGGTTATTTTTGTTGTAAGAGTGAAAAGATAATAAACCATTAGCTTTATGAATGACACCAACTAATAAACCTAAAGAAAAGCATACAAACAGCAACCATGTAAGGGCTTGCTTGTGCCAGTCTGTTTTAAGCACTTTTAGTGCATTGTGTCGTTCAATCCCACACCGACCTGGGGACACTCATGCCTATTTCTTAGAGGAGGAAACGAAAGGCCCGGGGAAAGCTAACGAACTAGCACGGCTGCCACAGCTGCTGAGTTCCGGACGCCGGGAGCCCGTGCATTCTCTGTACTGCTGTCCTCCGTAGGGAATCCAGGTACCTTCTCCTCTTGTTTAATGTGACACAACACTATAAACTGTATGAGTCACACTTTTCTGTTAGACTCCCTCCCTTTTACTTAACAAAGAGGGTTATTAATGAAACCAGTTTACATGTGGAACTGCTCACACAGAAGTGATTCCTCACCCCTCAAAAGGGAAAACAAAGTACGAAATAATCCCCGTCAAACCTACCACGTTGGCCTGTGAGTACTTCAGGGCAAATGTTTTAATTTGTTTGACGTAGACATTGTTGTAGAACTGGATGAGGTCTCCCCTCTCCTCCTCCTCCAGGTCGCTGTTGGCGCCTGTGAGGCGGGTGGGTGTAGGAGGGGCGCTGCTGGGCTGTGGGACAGGCAAGGTGCTGCTGGACCTCATGACAGGACTGGAGTCTCTACTGGCTGTGGCAGGTAGAGCAAGGGGTGAAACAGAGAGACTGCCTTTATCCTACTGCATTTGCTTTTTAAAAACAAACAGCTACCTGCTCTACTTGTATAATGGCAGCAAATGGGCATTAATTCTTTTACCAGGGAACAAAGCGCAGGCAGGTAAGACATTAAGTACTAACATTCCCCCCAGGCCATAAAGGTAGGGCACAAGGAGACGGTATCACTGGTAAGTTTCACCAAGTCTCCAGAACCTGCCCCTGCAGTAAGGGGTGCAAACAATTAGGGAGGGCATTTCCACAGCACGGATTCAGCTGGCATGCCAGACTTCCCTGAAACGCAGGCCAGCAAATTCCTGCCTGAGTCCCCTGGAGAAAAATGTTTTGCATGATGTGCCTCAAAACTATGGGATAAAGGACAAACAACGTTGCCACTAAATTTAGAATCATTTCTTCTTCCAACAAATCCTTTTCCAATAATATAGTTTATTCATAGTTTCCTTAGAAGTAATTTCATTTAGGAATCTTCAATCTTCTAGGCCTAAAGTTAATTTTATTTTGTACGTGTTCACAAAGATCCCACTTACTTCTGTCTTTGTTTAGTTCTGTTGGAGAATTCTGATGGCTTCTGCTTTCACTGCTGCCAGAATTTCTTCTTTTCCTTCTCCCTTTTAGCAAAACACTTCTATACACCTTTAGGGAGACCATGAGAAGGGGACAGAAATGACAATTTATGGAAACAGCCTAGATCACATGGCCTTGACATGTGATTTAATTCTCACAACAATCCTGTGAAACAATAGTTCTCCTCCTCAGGGGAAGTTAATCAATGCAGCCAAGGTCATATGTCTGTTATGTAACAGATCCAGGGGGACCCCAGGGCCTGCTGCTTGAAATTCCAAGTACAGCCTACAATGGGACAGAGCAGGATAGGACCCAACCATAAAGCCACGTCATTCTAAGCCAGCCGTGGGCAAACTACGGCCCGCAGGCTGGATCTGGCCCGTTTGAAATGAATAAAACTAAAAAAAAAAAAAAAAGACCGTACCCTTTTATGTAATGATGTTTACTTTGAATTTATATTAGTTCACACAAACACTCCATCCATGCTTTTGTTCCGGCCCTCTGGTCCAGTTTAAGAACCCACTGTGGCCCTCGAGTCAAAAAGTTTGCCCACCCCTGTTCTAAGCCAACCACAGATGTCACACACGCCTGCCCCTTTAAGGGAGATGAATAATATTAAAGGTAAAATGAGTCTTAAATCTTCATTAGATGTTGTCTTGGTTAAATGTACCGCATTTCCTAAATCAGACTGAAAGGTGGCACAGAAACCAAACAACCTTCTAGTTTACATCTTTCCTGTGATTAGCTAAATTAAGGCGTCTGTTATTTCATGTCATTGCCTTTAGGAGAAAAGAGAACTTAAACCAGTGGTTCTCAACCTTCTGGCCCTTTAAATACAGTTCCTCATGTTCTGACCCAACCATAAAATTATTTTCGTTGCTACTTCATCACTGTAATGTTGCTACTGTGATGAATCGTCATGTAAATATCTGATCTGCAGGATGGTCTTAGGCGACCCCTGTGAAAGGGTCGTTCGACCGCCAAAGGGGTCGCGACCCACAGGTTGAGAACCGCTGATTAAACTAAAGACTTCCTTTAAAGTCTGGGGAAAAGGCTACAGAAACAACTCGGGTTGACTTTTTGTGTTTCTCAAAGACATGAAGCTTTATTTTTAACCCTAAGAGGAGTAAGTTACCTGGCTCCGGGCCTGTGGCTGAGTCCTGTAACAACGCATAATGTTCTGGAAGGACTTGTCCTCTTTTGTGACCTGGAAAAGAATAAGAGTATTTTGTGAGAGCGATGGACTTCCAGCAACATACTGTGAGCACTACACACTTGCTCCACAGTTAACCTGGTGAAAATTCTATTAAAATTAGTCACTTAAAATCTTCAAATGGTCCTAAGGCACACAAGTGAAGAAATATCTATGAAAGAAAACTTAAAATTCAGCAACAATAGAGGTGGTAAATGGTACCTAAACTAAGACCTGGCATAACATTTCATGAGCGTGAGAAAACGGCATTTCACTTACTATAGAACCCCAGTAAAAGAAGAGACAACTTCTACTCAGAAACTATGCAGGCAAAGCGGCAGTCAAACAACATATTAAAAGTGCTCAAAGTAAAAAATCTAAAGAATCCAGTATCCAACAGTGATCTTTCAAAAATTAAAAGAAATGAATATATAATCACAGATGTCTAGGCCAATGTGTACAGTGGTTAGAGCACCAGCCCATGTACCAAATGTCGTGGGTTCGATACCCAGCCCGTCAGGATGAGTATGGGAGACAACCAATTGATGTGTCTGTGTCTCTCTATATCCCTTCCTCTCTCAAAAAAAATCAATGGGAAAAATCCTCAGGTGAGGATAAAGAATTTTTTTTTTTTCCTGAGAGTAGGGACGTATCATCTTTTTCCTTTTATAGTCCGAAGTACTCACCTTTGCCATCACATAAATGGCACACATTAACAACTGGTCCAGGTGTCTGTCCATCATAAGTTCAGGACACTGAACTATGGAGAATTCAAAGCAGGTCCAGATCTTTTTCCTTAGCTCATCTGAAATATCCAGCTTAGCACAAAGATCCCGAAGGCGGACACCTGCTAAGTGGTAAACCTGGTAGATAAAAAACCATCTCAGAACCTGTTTATCTAACACATTCCCCAAACGCATGACCAGGGAGAGGATATGAAAAGTTACCTTTCTAAAGAACAGCGATAGAGAGCTGGTCTTCCTGGGCCTGCCGCTGCCGCTGGGCAAGGAGGGGCCTTGCTTCTGCTGCCCCCCTGGGGAGAGCTGCTGAATGGCCACCTGCCCTGGGACTTGCAAGGTGGTTCCTGTCACCTGTTGAGAGCTCAAGTTCCCAGCCAGGGCCTGGGCACTGAGGGGCTGCATGGAGCCCGTCACGGCTGATGGCTGCCCCCCAACATTGACTTGGACCGGGAAGAAAGTTATCCCTCCATTTTCATTGGCAATACCTGTCGTTTGTTACAAAGAAAAAAGCACAAAGAAAATGCTGATAATACAAGGTTCCCCAGGCAGGGTTTCCAATTCCTCCCTCTCCTAACCCCCTCCCCGCAAATTGTCGCATCATCATTCCAGCCGAATCTCAGGTAACTTCCCAATGAATGCCACAGAGAAAGAACTCGATATCCAACTCAGCCTGCCTTACCTTGTACAGGAATGGTCACAGTTTGTCCATTGTTGGCTGTGACCGTGGCTGTTGCCATGGTGACCAAAGTCTGTCCAGGAACTGGTGTGACAGGAACCGCCTCCCCAGGCACATTCTGCACGGGGACAGCACTGACCAGGGGCTGTGGGGGCCCGCGCCCGGGTGCTCCTCTGTCAGAGGGGCTGTCGTTCTCGACAAAGAGCCGTCTTCGGGTGGAGCTGGCGGTTGGGGAGCTGTACCTCTCATACAATGTGGTTGGAGAGGTGATGCCTAGAGCCAAAAAAAATCAAAGCACTTCACTCAGGGAGAAGGAGAGGACTCATCCAAGCTGTTATTAGTGCACAAAAACTAATTTAAAAGCCAACAAAAATTACAGGAGTCACATCATAGTAATAATTCCACTGAACACTATTATGAGCAACATTTAAAGAAAGATTTTTCTCTATTTGTCTCTCAGGACTCCCTTCTTCACTCCACCTTCTGCTAAATCAAATGAGGCTTTGCCCTCCGCTACTTCAGGGCCTTGATGAGCGAGGGGCAATTTAAAGAATTGTTCTATTTTTCCACGATATTTTTAACCATATTCAATTTCTACCTGATGCTCATGTAAAATGTGATTTTGACATAAACCCACCACTTGATAAGGGGACCTGATGGATTTGATATCCCCATCTGGGAGCATTTTCCCCCTGTTTTATGAACCTTCATCTTTGTCCAAATACAGAAAATTAATAAAACTCAATAATGTCCTTTAGAAAGAATGGACATGCATGTTTTTTATTCAATTAAGCTTAGTTTAATTTTTTAAAACAACTTTATTGAGAAATACAGTGTGTCCCAAAAAAATGTCTACACGTGTAGAATAATTATAAAGGCGGTGTTTATTAAAATACCGTTCATTTTCAAAATGTAATAGAATCAGCTATCACACATTTTTTGGGGACACCCTGTATATGCCCTATGAACTTCACTTGCAAGTTTAGATGGAAGTCAAATCCCCAGATATTAGACCCCATCTACGTGCCTTAGTATTTAAACTTACTTCTTCCAAGGCCTCCAGTCTCGGCACGAACTTCACTCACTCTTCTGGGAGTCAAAGGGGTGCCAGCCATACACATGTCATCTGCTCTTTCCAGGTTCTGCGGTGGCATGACCTGCAAAGAATGTTCACACAGAATGCCATTATTCAAAAAGCATTATTAAAAATACAATAATCACCTAAGGTAAAATTGAACTGTCTTGGCTCATCCCTTATTCCATCTATCAGCTGTCTTTTCCACTGGCAGGCTTAAACATTTCAAAACCTGGTAAATAGATATTAAATATGAATCAGCAGTCCTTACTGATGTGGAGAATTAGAGTATCAAGCATCTAAGGTAGAGAAACTTGATTAAGAGATCAAGGTAGAACACCGAATTCTTCCCCTGTCACTGAAAACCTGGGGCAAGCGCACAGTTATTCTGATTCTTGTTTCCTATTTGATGCAGGTGTTGTACCCTCTCACCCTGCACAAGGAAGACATGAAGTGTAACTGTGCCTTGGGAAGAAGGGTGATGAGCAGACTAGATACTGATGTACTTTCCTTATAGAAAGATGTTACAATCTCTCACAAACCTCTTCACAGGTAGGGACTCGGTTGTCATTCTCTCTAATCTTGTCCCAGAGCGGAGAATCTGGCTTCCAGGCCAGATGATCCAAGATGTGTTCTTCAATCTGATTGAGGTGTTTCACCACCTCTCTGCAAAGGCCATCTTCTGCTCGGATGAATACTTCTATCACCTGAAATGAAGAAAAGGCCCTGGTTTAATAATTTTAAAAAATATATATAATAAAAAAACATATATGTATAAAAAAAGGTAACTTTTTTATATATTTATAGATATAACAAAGACAATTTATAAAAAATTATAAGTTTAAAGGATAGTACTATTTTGAAACAGCTGCTCTTCCCTTCTGCCTTTATAAATAATTAATATTTAAATTGCATTTATGAGTTATATAAAATCTTTTCATAGTGCTATATTTCAACATTTAAATGAAAGAATGTCTTATCTATTGAGAGTGAAACATTACTCTTTAAATTTTGTATTTAAAAACTCTAAACATTCAATCTCTGCCACTATAAAAACGTTTTGACTGCTGTAGCTGAATTAAATAAATTCATACACTCAGTTAATATCAAGAAGGAAACAACCAGTCAATGCCCTTCCTCTGTGACTCTATAATCACATCTAAGAGGATTTTTGTTTCTGAAAGACACATTCAATATTACTTAAATTCCATAAAAAAGATTGCTCTTGCCCTAGCCGGTTTGGCTCAGTAGATAGAGCGTTGGCCTTCGGACTGAAAGGTCCCAGGTTCGATTCCAGTCAAGGGCATGTACCTTGGTTGCGGGCACATCCCCAGTAGGAGGTGTGCAGGAGGCAGCTGATCGATGTTTCTAACTATCTCTCCCTTTCTATCTGTAAAAAATCAATAAAATATATTTTTAAAAAAAGAGATTGCTCTGTAAGATAAGCTAGTGATAGGTTTGCTATTTTTTTTAAAACCTTAAGCTCATAAAATGAAAGTATCTTAAAAGCCTTTATGAAATGAAAGGAATAAAATGAAACTCGCTGAGCATAGGTCTTTACTGTACAGTAAAAGAATTTATATAGTTCTTAGGACTCTATTTCTTCTCTGCTCCCCAAATACAGTAGAAATTATTAATAAATGTAATTAAAAATAAATGCACTTAGTTATTAAAATGAACTAGATGGCTAACAATAGGAAGTTGGTCTCATCTATAATTTTCTCATTAGTATCAGATTTTTAAAAATACCTTATAAAAGTGATAAAGTGGCACATCAAATATTTCGGTAATGAATGGAAAATTCCCAGGAGGCTTATAAGAAAAAGTGACAACCTCGAGGCAGCAGGCCAAGAGTGATCTGTGGAATGCATCTTGTTCCAGAATGCCCTGTAAAACAGTTATTAACATGCAGAAACATTAGTCTACTCTAATAAGACATTTTATACCCAGTCAAGTTAAAATACCAAAGTCTTATTCTCTGAATTAGTGAGTAGTATGTGCTTTTCTTACAAAACTTTTAACTTTATAAATAAGTCCATTTTTTAGCAACTTTCAAAAATCTTATATATCATGAAATATAGCTAATACAAAAATTTCATCCCTAATTAAAATATACATACACTCTGATGCTTAGAAGACTAATGATCTGGAAAGATGTTACACACTAGCATTACAGTCAGAGGCCACTGTCATAAAAAGATGGCTGGAAGGAGGACAGGTGACTTGGCTAGATGGTCAACATGCTTACTCAGGGTGATATAATCACAGATGATTTTCACATGTACTTTTCCTTTGCTTATTTATTTCCTAAAATTATATATTTTTTAAAACTAAAAAGTTATATAGACACAAAAAGCATAGCCAACAAGAGCAAAACATAGGTAAATTAGACTTCATTAAAATTAAAACCTTTGTGTATCAAAAAACACCATCAATGATTTGAAAAGACAACCCAAAGAATGGGGGCAAATATTTGTAAATCAGATATCTGATGTAATTTATACTCAGAGTATATATATACCAAAAAGAATTGAAAGCAGAGACTCAAATAAATACTTGTACACCAATGTTTATAACAGCATTATTCATAATAGCCAAAAGGTGGAAACAACTCAATGTCCATCAACAGATTAATGGCAAACAAAATGTAACATACACATGTATGTGGTGTGTATGCATACAATATTATTCATCATTAAAAAGGAATAAGATTCTGACACATGCTACAACATGGATGAACCTTGAAAACATAATGCTGAGTAACATGGGCCAGACACAAAAGAACAAATATTGTATGACTATCTAAGGTACCTAAAATAGGTAAATGCATAGAGAAAGAAGAACAAAAGTTACCAGGGGCTAAAGGGAGGAGTGAGTGGGAAGTCATTATTTATAGGTATATAAACTATCAGTTTGGGATGATAAAAAATTGTGAAGATGGCTAGTGTTGAGGGGGATGCACAACATTGTGAATAGTTAATGCCAGTGAACTGAGCATTGAAAAATGCTAAGATAGCATATTTTATTTTTTACTACAATAAAAATTTTTTGAAAAATACGTTCCTTAGGTGAGTATACAGGTATCTACTTACTATCAACCGCTAAACTACTGTAATTCTTCTGTATGTGTTTCAAAGTCTAAAAATTTGTCATAAAACAATCTTTTAAATTCCTACCACATTTTTTAAAATATATTTTATTGATTGTTTTACAGAGAGGAAGGGAGAGGGAATAGAGAGTCAGAAACATCGATGAGAGAGAAACATCGATCAGCTGTCTCCTGCACACCCCCTACTGGGGATGTGCCTGCAACCAAGGTACATGCCCTTGACTGGAATCGAACCTGGGACCCTTCAGTCCGCAGGCCGACAGTCTATCCACTGAGCCAAACTGGCCAGGGCCCACCATATTTTTATATATAAAAAAGAAAAGGAACTAGGTACAAAGAATTAGAACAATTATAGGTCCATTTTGTAATTTTCTTTAAAATGTTATTTAAAAAATTAGTTACAATTTTTTTTGATATAATTGAAAGTAAATATCACTTGTTTAAAATCAATTTACATTTGTTTTATTAGTAAAACCTAGGAAAAAGAATTATTTCAGCTAACCCTACCTGTGTGACCCATGAACCAAGAGGTCCCTGGTTCTATTCCCTGTCAGGCACAAGCCCAGGTTGCAGGCTTGATCCCCAGGAGGGGGCGTGCAGGAGGCAACTGATTGATGTGATTTTTCTCTCTCATTGACATTTCTCTCTATCCCTCTCCCCTCCTCTCTAAAATCAATAAAAAAAGAATTATCTTAGCCAAGAGAAATGGCTGAATATTTATTAAAAGTCCTACTGAGTCAATACTCAATTTATTCTTGCTATAGAAAGAAGGCTTGATAAAAAACCCCATGTTATTTAAAAACTCAGTTAAGTCTGAGTGTTTTAACCCTTAACTAGTTTTACTACCCACAGAAGTTGAAAGTTGTAATACATGGCCTGCTGCAGCAAGGCACTGAATGGGGGCTGAAGGTGAAAGAACTCAGAACCAGCCATAGCTGGTTTGGCTCAGTGGATAGAGTGTCGGCCTGTGGACTGAAGGGTTCCAGGTTCCATTCTGGTAAAGGGCACATGCCCAGGTTGCGGGCTCAATCCCCAGTAGGGGGCGTGCAGAAAGCAGACAATCAATGATTCTCTCTCATCATTGATGTTTCTAACTCTCTCTCCCTCTCCCTTCCTCTCTGAAATCAATAATATATTTTAAAAAAAAGAAAAGAACTCAGAACCATTATTCATAATAGCCAGTTTCCTTAGGTGCCAATGTTATTCCCTCAAAACCACATATCATTTCTCTTGTTCAATAACAGTGTGTTTTCTTTTGGTGGCTAGGGCTGACAGGAAAGCACATTTTACTGTTCTGATCAATACATTGGATATTTACTCACAGATAAATCCATGTCTCCCAGTCTCTTTTGTTCCTGCTCAATAATGGATTCTAATACTTTATAGTAAAGCATCTCTGCAAAACGAAAGTGTCTGCTGGCAATTTCTGCATAAATATAAAAAAAACACAACAATCACATGCAAAGAAAAGAAACGTTGTGAAAAATGAGGGCCATCCCATCCCCTGCCCACAATATAAAATTTAAAAACCCATACACTTCCTACAGTTGCTATTTCAATCATCCCTAAGATTCCTTAATTTTTTTCATGGTAACACTTAAATTTTTCTAAAACTGTGAAATGAAATTTTCACATAAATAACTGGAATTTAATGAGTATGGTATTTAATGAGTCCAGCTATGATGGCATTCCATGAAGATTCACATCATTTTTATTCTGTGGGGATGTTTGAGCAGAGCAGCTCTGTGCTGGGAGGTATATAGTTGGTTTACTATTCCACTCATACTTGGTTTTAATTGAAAACCTCAAAAACACCTAGCACAGATCTGGGCATGAAAACAGCTATGTCTTCTGTTCTTATTTTTAAAATTCTAAAGAATCACAATATTTCTATATTTAATATCCAGTCTACAAATGAAAACGAAAATTTTCCAAATGAGAAAGTACCCGAAGGTCAACATAATAAAGACATCAGAATAGCCCTGGCTGGTTTGGCTCAGTGGATAGAGCATTGGCCTGAGGACAAAAGGGTCTTGGGTTCGATTCCAGTTAAGGGCACATGCCCAGGTTGCGGGCTCGATCTCCAGTGTGGGATATGCAGGAGGCAGCCAATCCATGGTTCTCTCTCACATTCATGTTTCTCTCTCTCCCCCTCCCTTCTACTCTCTAAAAAGCAATGGGGAAAATATCCTTGGGTGAGGATTAACAAAAAATAAGTAAATAAAATAAAATTTCTTACTGAGAAGGGCCCAGAAATCACCGGGCTGACATAAAATTAGCCTTCAATCTAAACGCATAAATCTTCATGTTTCTGACTCAGTTACCAAGAAAGGACTCCATGTAGTTAAACATCAAGATGAGAACAATAAAGACAATATTAAGCTTCACCTTTAGCACAATTACTGAATTCCTCATCTGGCTGGGAATGCTGAGAATATATTTCATACATTTCTTTCAATCTGTTGGCAATAGCCTGGGTTGGATCTCTAGAACATGTCCTAAAAAATAAAAAGAAATTATCTAATTTAAAGGTCTTGCCGAGTTACAAAGTGATAAACTGTTTACAACTCTGTATTTGTACTAACCTGTAAATATAAAATACTTTGAACACAAACTATACACTCACCCATACTTCTTTGATAAAGGTGTTGGTATTACCATTTTCAGTGAAAAAAAAAAGTATTGTGTACAGTTGTATATTCTCTGCAGTAAGTTTAGCAACCTTAACCTCTGTGCCTGTTTGATGTCCGTGACTGGACCCCACCCTACACGTCTGCAATCACTGCTGACCAACTAACTGCGCTCAACTGTTCCTCTAGAGGGCACACAACGCCCAGTAAACTCCTGCAGAAAACAGCTGACGGGTATGTAATCTCTACCACAGACTCAGATACACCCTTACTGGTATTCTACATCGTTCCCTGAAAACCAAATTATCTCATTTTTTACTAATTTATTTTACTAGAAAGACAATGTATGTCCAATGCAGAAGCATACAGAGTATCACCATGTGTGCTTTTGTAACAACTAAGTTTTTATCTTGATCATAAATATACATATTCATGTAAAAATGTAACAAGTTTAGAAAATTATAACCGATTTTTGTTTCTTTATAATCTTGCTAGAGATAGCTGCTGGATATGCTATACAAACAGAATTTTATTTATGAACACACACAGGTACCTTTTACAACAACAAAGCCCTTCGGCTTTACCTAGTACCTGCTGGTATTTCAATACCATGGATGGTATTTACGATGAAAGAAGCTGCTACTTCTTGTCAGAGATTGTACAAAGATTTGGAAGATAGAGATTCAATCAGGCTTCTAAAATGTGTTTATGAAATACTTCTGAACTCCAGGTAAACAAGGTCCATTTTAAAAACATGACTTAGGAAGAGGCCATACAGACAGAGCCTGTTGGGCAGCGGTCCTCAAACTACTGCCCACGGGCCACATGCAAATACAAATATTGTATTTGTTCCCGTTTGGTTTTTTTACTTCAAAATAAGATATGTACAGTGTGCATAGGAATTTGTTCATCGTTTTTTTTTAAACTATAGTCCGGCCCTCCAACGGTCTGAGGGACAGTGAACTGGCCCCCTGTTTAAAAAGTTTGAGGACCCCTGCTGTTGGGTGTTAATTACAATCAAGTTTATGAAAACAGGAGACTTCATGAAAATGTGAAGGGAACTCAGTCAGCTTAGGTATGTAATGAGTCCAGATACGAGTGGGGAGTTACTAATATGTGTATACAGGGCCTTCTTATATCAGATCACCTGAAATAAAATGGGCCCTAGAGGGCCTATGTCATCAAGTCATAAACTTTTAGGACTAACGTCCTTTTCGGGCTAAGGGTGCTCTGTAGAGTTACAGAAGTTACAGTGCTTTTACACTGGCTGTGCATTAACTGTCTACCTTTCCTAGTAGGGACCCACCCTTCGGAAATGTGCCCAGGACGAGTCCTCTCCATGAAGTCCTTTGACAACTACCGTCTTCATGATCCCCTTCCCTGACATCTTAAGACAGAACAGCTGGTGGCGTAGTCTGGTGCCTTATTCTACAGGGTCTAGTGCTGGTCTTTCTGTTGTTTATAAGCCACCCAGTCTATGTGCTCTGTGAGAGCAGTGTGAACAGACTAAGACCCTGAGGAAAAATGACCTTCTAACCATACATCTTCCATTGCTATGTCTTCTGCGGACAACAGCTATAAAATAAGTAATGAGTAAATGAAGGCACAAGTAGTGAAAAATTAAAGTAAAAAATTAGAAAAATAGGCAACAGCCACATTGAGAAGGCAGGAAGGGCTCACACTGACCTCAGGACCTGTCCCAGTCTCTCACTGGGTGCGCTTCGGAGGCCCGCCAGCATGGTGTGGAGGCGGCTCAGGCTGTGCGTGGCCGCAGAAACCGGAGTCACGCAAGGGCTGCTGTTATCCTTAATGTACCTCACCCCAGTGAGCGGCGTGGAGACTCTAAGTGCTTTAGACTAAGGGGGAGAAAGAACACTATTTTAGTTCGGAAAAGACTCCATTACTTTGCAAACGGGAACTAAAGGTAATCAGACTTTGTATTATTAACAAATTCTAGTGATTCGCATATCCCCATTCTTGGAATTTAGACATGGCACCTCTACAGCCACCATGATCCGGTGAAGACGTGTGAAAGAAGAATCTGCATTTCAGCTAACTAAAATTTCGCCTCTTAGAAGTTAAATCTTTAAGATAATGCATATTTCCCTATGACCCCCTCCTTCAAAACGTAAGCTTGAAGGCAAAAACAAGCATTAGAAAATGTAGAATATCTTTGAGAAACAGCTAGCACCTACTGCTATTTTTGTAAATACTTAAAGATTGGCAAAAGGAAACTGGGAAATCAATCTGGCCCAGTGAAATCCAGGATTTCACAAAAGTCCCCTAACGATCACGCCTGCTTCCGAGAAAAGCGAACCACCACTGTGAGGTGCGGGCAGCGCCTGGCGCGGGGAGCCCTCCTGCCTGCCTTCACCTCGGTCCCTGTGCTCCAGCACAGCTGCCCCAGCGGACACAGAGCTTCACACAGAGCAA